TATGCCCTCCCAAAAAAAAAAAAAAAAAAAAAAAAGAATAAAAATAAATAAATCAAGAGGCCAAAGGGCCAAGGAGCATCTGTGAGGGGTTCTGTGTGACCCACCGGTCCTGTCTTGGCTACGGCTCCTGCAGAGAGACCTGGTGTGGGGTCAGGGAGCTGTGTGGGGTGCTCTGCTCACCACCCCATGGGGGCAGAGACCCCCAGGAGCCCAGCTGAGCTGGGGGGCAGCAGCCTCACCCCACCATCAGCCACGGAGCAGCAACCCCAGGTGCAGGTCCGTGCCACCCCTGGTACCTCGCTGAGCCGGTTCCCAGCCTCTGCCCCCGTCCTCCTCTGCCTCTCCGCTTCGATGACCTTGAAGAACTCCTGGCGGGTACGGTTGAGCACCTCCTGGGGATCCTCTGGCAGCATCTCCTTCACCTCCGTCGCCTGGGCCTCTGACTTGGCACGCTTCTTCAGCTGCAATTCCTTGCGCCGAGCCTCCACGATCTTCTCCCTCCTCGTCTCCCGCTCGAACATCTAGGACAGGGGTGGGTAACGAGGGGTGCAGGGTGACAGGGGACCCCGGGGGGGGACAGCATGCCCTGTCCGGGGACAGCACAGCAATGCTGAGGGTTTTGCTGTGACCTGGTGGCTCAAAGCGGGACGTACAGCGGTGACCAGGGTCTTCTCGTTCCTCTGGAGGGTGCAGAGCCCGGAGGACATTTCCAGCAGGGTGACGGTGCCCAGCTTGGAGCCACAGCCAACGATGCACCCGTTGTCCTGCAGGCGCAGGCTGGAGAGGGGCTCGTTGCAGACCTGGGGAGGGAGGACGGGTGGGTGGTGGCACTTAGCCCTGACGTGATGCCCCACAAGGGGGAAGTGAGGCAAGATGAGCCAAATCCACATGGTTGCCAACAACAGGAGCCTACGTGCAAAATTTTGGGCTCCAGATATGTCTCAGGGGACGGCTGCTGCTTGATAGAGCTTACCCCCAGCTCTGTCCCCTGTCCCAAATCTGCCAAGGACCCCACTGCCAGCGCTGGCTGGGGGCAGCCCCTGCTCCCCTCCCAGGGTGAGGAACCCCAAGCTGCTGGGGACCTCACCTTCAGGCTGAGAGAGGGGTTCTTCTGCTTGAAGAGGAAATCCCAGACGTCCAGGGTCCCGTCCGATCTGGTGATGAAGAAGACTGATGGCTTCACGGTGCTCCAGCACCCGTCCGTCAGGTCGGAGAGGTGGCACCTGCCAGCAGACAGACCTGACGCAGTGGGGATGGGCTTGTGGCCTCCTTCCTCCTGGTCCCATGGCTGCTGCCTGCACAGCATGGCATGGGCACCCTCCGTTCCAGCACCCATGGCCACGCTGGCACCGCTCGCCCTTGGTGACCATCCCCACCACCTCCTGCCTGACCTGAGCAGAGCAGACCCTGCCGGGGTCACCAGACACGCTCTTCCACAAAAAAGAAGATTTTTTTTGCAGAGCAAACTTAGGAGCACTGACACCTACTTGGTCTGCATAATTGATGAGTCCTTGATCTCCTCTGACCAGATCCGAGCAGTCCCGTCACCCACCGTGAGGAAGACTTTGGGGTAGAACGGGTTCCTGGCCAACGCGTAGACGGGTCCAATGTGGCCTCTGTAGATGCTGGTGATTTTTTCGGAGGGTGTCTTGGCCTTGCGGTTGCAGGCGATGATGGTGCCCTGCTCTGTGCCCACCATGAACTTGGTGGGCTGAGGGTGGGAGCAGGAGAGAGCAGCCGTCAGCAGGTTGGGGACCCCGCAGCGCAGGCAGGGGACAGCGGGGCAGCAAAGGGTTTTGCTGTCGGAGCAGAAGGGGAGCCTGGGGAGAACGGAGCCCTGGGACTCTGGGGGATTTAGAAACCAAAATGCCAGCAAGACCCTGTGTTTTGGGAGAACATCAACTCCTGATTCTTAAAGATGGGTGGGAACATGCTGCAAGCGGCAGCACAGTGCTCTGGGTCACTCTGGGCTTGTGCTGTGCCCCCGGAGCCCTGCCTGGGGGGTGACCCAGCGCTGCCCACCCCGCTGGGTTTGGCTCACGCTCCTGCCCAGGGCACTGGTTGTGTGTGGGGAAGGTGACCCTGATGTCAGGGCAAGGACTTACCATGGTGGGCTCAAACTCCAGCGTGCGGGCACCCAGAGCGTTCTCCAGGAGCCCTTTGTGGGTGATGTCCAGGACCAGTGACTCGGTGGGCTCAGACAGCTTGCGGATGTCCCACCACAGGACCTGCAGGGGACAAGCAGAGGGAGGGGGCCACAGGGAAGGGGCTGCTCCTGGCTCAGCCACGAGTGCTGGGGGGCAGAGCGCCCTGGAGCCAGGCAGCTGCCCCATCCAGCCCCTGCTGCCAGCCCGGGAGCCTGGTTCCCATGCTGCCATGGCTGGCGAGGGGCAGGGCAGGCAGGGGAAGCTCTTTTGGGCTGTCAGGGGGGTCCCCATGGGAGTTCCTGGCACCTTTCCCTGCCCCTGCCCTTTACCTGCCCGTCGGTGGAGGCCGAGAAGCACTCGGTGCCCGTTTTGGAGGGCAGCCAGATGGCTCCATACACAGGGTCCCTGTGGCTGACCTCCACGTGGGACACCTCCACGGGCAGCTCCCCTTTCCTGGTGTCCCAGTAAGCTGGGAAGGAAAAGGAACTGTCAAAATCTGCACCCTCTCCCTTGCCCAGCTCCTTTGCTTGCCGTGCATTTCCCGAGGAGGTGCTGCCCCACTGCCCAAGCCAGAACAGGGAGCAAACCTCACTGGGAGCCCCCTCCCCGCAATTCCCAGCCCCATAAGCACCCCGTGGGCTGGGAGCCTGCGGCTGAGATCACTCCCAGCGATGCCCACTCTGAGCCCAAACGCAATTTGCACCTTCTGCAAACGAAGCTAGGGGGTGGTAACATTAAACAGCTGCAGCAGTTCTTCAGCAATCATCTCTGTAGCAGATGCACCATGACCCCCAGAGGCAATAAATCCCCCTGGCTGCCCCCTGCTCTGCACAGGGGGGTTGCAGCAGGACCAGAGATGGTCTAAGCAGCCCCCAGACCCCTTGTCAGCTTCCAAACAGCGGCTCTTACACTTCTAAAAACCAGCCCGTGTGACCTGACCTCGGCTGCACTCCCTCCTGCATCCCCAAAGGGCTCTGGCTAACGAAGGCAGGTCCCCTGAGGACGGCAGCATCCATCCTTCCCTATCTCTGCCTCTGACGTGTGGCAGGGGACAAGCCACGACGCAGGACTGGCCGTGGTTCAGCAAAGGTCAGGCAGTCGGGCCGTGGTGGCACCGAGATGCAGGGGCTCCCTCCCGCTCACTTCTAATTAGGCAATTGGATGTGACGGCGTGTGCTCCGCTGGGCCCGTGCCACACGCCTGGGGAGCCCCAAGAAGGATGGGGTGAGATCCCTCCCCTCCATCACCTGCCTCGTGTGCAGGAACAGCCCCGTAATGCACGCCCCGTCAGGTCCGATCGCTGCTGCCAACAGCAAGGAAAACATTGAAATGAGAGCAATTAAATCAAAGGGCTCGTGTGGCCGAGTAAACAACAGAGCCATAAATGAAGCTGGCAAAGAAGGGCCCTTTTCCAAGTGCTTGGAACGACAGCACAAGAACAATTCAGTGCACGCAACGACAGCCACTCTCCTGGGATTTTGGCACGCGAAGATACGAGGCCGTGGGCAAGGCAGGAGCACAGCCCGTGTGCTGCTCCAACGTCTGATCCAGCAATCCCTGCCAGGTCCTCGCTGCCCCAAGTGCCTGCAAAGGGCTCCCGGGGACACTTTCCTCCCCTCCCTGGCTACCTGTTCAGGTGAACACATGCCCGTCCTCCCCAGGTCAAGAGTTTCTGGCCAGCTCGGGATATTCCCAGCGGCAGCACTAATGATTTTACAGCATTTGTGAGTGTTCCAGTGCTGGAACTAGGCTCTTGCCGAATTAAAATGAAGTCTCATTAATATGGCCTCGTGCCTAATCCCTCTTCCTTACCCATCTGCCCGTTGTAGCATCCTCCTAGCAGGATGTGTGAGTCTTTGGGGTTGTATTCCAGTCTCACCAGAGGGGATGACGGCTTGAGAGCGAGCTCCGGCTTGTTGGAGTTTTCTGCCGAGAAAGGAGGAGTAAAGAGCAAAATGCAAAGGCAGGCTGGAGGGTGAGCACCCCTGCCCCAAAACTAGCCCCCCCGAAACCACTGCACCCTGCTCCTCTGTGCCTAGCCATGCTGGATGAGGAGAAGCTGGTGAGCTGGCCCTGCCACCAGGATGTCTCACCATACCCAGGGAAAAGAACCTGCCAGCCTGGGGACAGACCCCTGGTGCCTCAATCTCTGACACCCTGACCCTTCTTCTTTGTGTCTTTCACTCCAAAATACACCAGGTTTAAGGCAGCTTTTGACAGAAGAGTGTAATTCTCAGCCTGGGCTTGTGCTGCCTCTTTTTTTTCTTAATCAAGCACAAGTGAACCATATAAAGACAAGAACCACGTAAGAGGAGCGTGGCTCAGCTGCCTGTTGTAGTGCTCTGGCTCATCAAGTCATGTAGTGGGATTTTAGTGGTTCTTTTCCACCTGTTGGCCAGCTTTCAGGTCCCATTTCTCCCCTTCTCTGCATCGATCTGTGGGCGAAGCAGAAACCCAACCCCTGTTCACCCCCCTCTGGAGAGCTGTGAGGTTTCGTTACGTGCTTTGAAGACACAAAGTGCTTCCGCAGTGGCAGCATGACTGACTGGTGAGTTTTCCCTTCCCCTCACCGAGATCCCAGATGTACGAGTCAAAGCTCATGTCTTTCGCGTTTTTCTGGAACTCCAGCCTGGAATAAGCCACTGCCAGTTTCTTGCACGTGTCAGGGTGCCAGGAGAGATGTGTGGCCGTCCTCTTGGTTTCGTTGGGATCCCTATTTGATAACAGGACATCAAAGAAAGATGTTTAGCTCGCTAACAGCTCTGTCCCGGCCCCGGGATGACTGTCTCCCAAAGGAAACTGTGGGAATTGCAATTAAAACAAGCTGCAGCCCTTGAGCGTTGAGTGCAGGAAATGGTTCTCTTGGAGAGTTGGGTGGGGGGGAGAAGAGTTGGTGATTTAATAAAGTCTTTCCAGTGATGCGTTTCTAAGAATCCAATTATGTTACTGGACCTGACTTCTAGAAATGACCTAACAGCCCCTGACATTTGAAAATAATCTCTGAGGCATCACAAATAAATAAATAATTTCTCATCTGAAGCACTGTTAGAAGATGCTCAGATGGTGGTACCTACTTCCAAAGTGCCTGGGTGGGGTGGAGGGGAGAGAGGGGAGAGACAGATGGAGAAAGGGAGCAGAGGGGCTGCAGCAGGTCTCCTCATCCATAACCTGATCCAGCACTACCCTAAAGCTGCTGCATTTTCCACTTTCTTTGCCTCTAACAGCAGCTTAATACGTGCTGTGGATCTGGAGAGCCTGGCGAGCCCCGCTGGTCATGCTACCTGATGACATCGATGTATTTTGCCGAGGGGGGCTCATCTTCCACCTCTGCCGTCTCCTCCTCCTCTCCAAAGTACTCCTCGTAGATGTTGATGGCGTTGTTCTGCTTGATGCAGTGCTCCATCAGCTGCGGGGAAAGCACAGGCCGTGCCTCTGGGGAGCTGCTGAGGCGAGGGAACCGGCAGCGGGTGGGCAAGGGGGGTCTGGGAGCGGGAGGGAGGGGGACGGGCAAGGTCTTACGGTGCCGAGGTGCACGATGGTGTCGATGTAGTGTTTGTCTTTCTCCACTTTCTTCCTGAAGCGGGTGGTTTTTTCCATATCCTGCGGGTTGATGTCTTCGGGCCAGCCGCCCTCCACGTGGTTGACACCGCAGGATTCCACCTCCACCGGCTCGGTGTTGACCTGGGGGGTTGGCACAAAGGAAACAGGGCAAGAGTTTGAGCCGAAAAGGTGCAAAATACCACATTTCCTCCCCGGGACCACCTGGAGGGCGGCCCTCACCTCGTGCTCCGACATGTCGCTGGTGTGCTGGACGGAGCTATCCACGGGGTTCCTCAGGATGAAGTTGCTGGCCATGCTGGGGTCGGGAGGGATGTCCACGTTGACCGTGGCCGGCCAGTCGGAGAAGTTGCAGGGCCGGCCGAACTCACTGCGCTTCCGTGTGTAGACATATTTGATCTCCATGGCGGCCCTCGCGGGGGGCAGCGAGCACCCCTTCCTCCCACAGACCTACGAGCGGACCCCGAAAGGGGTCGGGGACTACTGGGGGGGGCACCCACCGCGGCAGGGCAACCCCTCGCCCTCCTGCCGAGGACCCAGGCCTCCAGACGCGGCCTGGTCTCCCCCGGTGAGGCCTCAACGGAAGCCACCGGCAGGACCGCGTCTGCCGTTGACTGGCAACGGCTGAGGGGCGACCACATGACCCTGCCGCCATGTTGGGAAGGGCAAGGCGGCGGTGTCACGTGACGGCCGCCCCTTGCCGCCATGTTGGGAGGGGAAAACCTGGCTAATTGCAATTAGGGGGCTAATTGAAACCAAGGGAGCTTGCGATTAACACAGGGGGTTGGGGCGGCGGCTTCCTGAAGGAGAAATGCCTTCTGCTGCCAGCCCCAGCCTTGGTGGTGGGGGGGCGGAGAGCAGGCTGGGAGAGCCAGGGCCTCAGGGAGGGGAGCACAGCCCATGGTGGAGCCCCCTCCTTGCTCCCCCCGACCCCTCCAGCCACAGCCCTTGGCCAGGAGAGATTCCTGTGGGACCACACCAGGTTCCTGAGGGAGCCAGGCCATCCATGTGGCCGGCATCAGCAGCCCCCAAGGCCGCAGCCATTGCTGTGGGGCCCCAGAGGCCTCCGCCAGACCCCCAGACGCCCGCAGGGAGGAGATAAGTTTAGTACAAGTGTTTATTGTCGTTTTCCCCAAAGGGCACATACAAATCAGGCCGGACTCCAGCTCCTAGACGGAGTCCTAATGAGGTTAGTTCAACATGCGTTTTAAAAACAGCTCTTTTCTACCAGTACCGTTACATCGAAACATTAAAAGCTGGAAAAAAAAAAAAAAAAAAAAAAGTCCCCTGAAGTTTCCAATAGCAAATAATGCTAGTCACACATAACACGGACAGACGGCGTTAGGGGAACAGAGGGTATGTACAAGTTATCTTTAAAAGACACAGTGAGTCACTGCTATCAAGTAAGACCCCCCAGGTGGCCCGAGGGGGACAGCCTGGCACCCCGGGGGGGCTGCCAGGCCACAGCACTGTTAGCCAAAGCAGGGAGGAAGGGATGGAGAACCACCACCGGCAGCACAGGAGGCTGCTAATTGCAATCAGAGAGGGAAAGCCCTCGCTCACCCGCAGCAAGGTACAGCCATTCACAGGGAAAAAGACCCCTGGAGCAAACCCCGGATAAGCCACCGCAGTGGTGCCCAAGGTGGCTACGAGAGCTGGAGTCGTCCCAGCCTGACGGCAGGACCATGCCCTCCCCGGGACCACATCCTGCCTCAGGAACACCAGAGTCATCCCTAACCCTCTTCCCAGGGGATTTGTGGTTACCCCAGGGCTGTCCTGCAGCAGGCGGGGAGCCCACCCCAGCGCAGGCTGCCGGCCTGCCCACCCAAGGGAGCCAAACCACCAAAATAAACCCCTACAAACTAGCCAAAAACTGGCTACCAACAAGCAGCCCAGTAAAACCACACCGGGGCAGAGGCAGCAAGTCGAACCGCGCCCCTGCCCTGCAGAGAACTCATGAAAATAAAACCCAGAAGCCAAGCAAAGGAAATCCAGCAAGGCCAAAACATCCCTAATTCTACAGCCTCCAAACCCAGGGCCAAGGTGGGGTGGGGGGGGGAGCAGCGATGGGGGGCACGGGGAGCCAGCTCTGCCCGTGCGGAGCGGGAGCATGGCAGAGGGGAGCATTTGAGGGGGGGGAGGCAGCAAAGCCACCCATGGGATCACTAGTGGTTGGTACTGCATTGCTACGGGAGCGAAGGAACCCGGACCCCTTCCCCGAGGGGCTGGTGCCAGGGGGAGGGCAGCCCTTGCCCCCAGGTTTGGTGGTTCCAGGCAGAGGGAGCTGGGGAAGGCTCCCTTCCGTGGCGTAAAACATCCCCGAGCTGGTGCAGATGGGAAGGGAAAGGAGAAGCCGATGCCGGGGAGTGAAGCATCTCCGGGGCTTCCCGGTGCCACGTCTGGCCCCGGAGTCACCATCAGCCATAAGGAAGGAAGACTTGAGACCGAGCAGAAGCTGCCGAGGGGGAGAGGAGGGTGGGCAGAGCACGAAGGGGGGGCTCCCCACTGCCGGGGGCTCATCCTCTGGCTGCTGCCGGGCTCCCCACCACATCTTTTCCAGGTGTCTTTGGTTTGCATTAAAGAGCCGCCGCCGGCGTTTTCCTCCTCCCGGGAGCTGCTCGGGGCGAGCGCCTTAGGCCGGGAACTCGGTGCCGTGGGGCCGGATGTGCTCATCGGTGACGGACAGGTAGGTGGCTCGCATGCTCGGGGAGTACTGCGGGGAGAGGACAGGGGGGTCAGCGTACCCCCCGACCCACGGCATCCCCCACCAGCCACCTCCGATCCAACCCTGCTCCCCCACGCGCTGCCAGAGGATGGAGAGGGGAAAATTGCATCCCACCCGTATTATTCCCCAATTATCTGCCAGGTTGCCACGGGGAAGGGGGGCAGAACCTGGTCCCAGCCTCGTCAAGGGCTGGAAGACAAGAGACCCCTTCCAGACAAGACACTTCAAGTGCCTCAAACTCTGCTTTGCCCCTTCCCTTCATCTCCCACCTTCCCGACTCCAGCCCGGCAGCAGATTCAGCCCCAGTCACTGAGCCTGGATGTGTCCAATCCCAAGGGACTCACACTGGGATGGGCTCGAGCTCCCCTCTCCCCTCAAGGGGACGGTGGCACCGCAGGCACCGTCTGGGCTGGCACAGAGATGGAGCAGGGTGGGCTTTAGCCCCGACACCCAGGCTGGGACCAGTTTCTGCGGCAACTGAGCTGGTTTTTGCCCCCTGATCTTCCCTGTCTACACCCAAACGGGCTCACTGGGTGCCTGTGCCCACAGCCACCACAGGCTGAACAGGACAAGGTCCCCCTGACGCACCGGGAAGGGGGTACCAATGAGCCCAGGGCAAAACCTCAGCCCCCCCAATGCTGCAGAATTAAATTTCTCCATCATTTTGCGGAGGGAGGGGCACCCCGGCCAGGCATTAAGGAAGATTATTCCGAGTTTGTTATTTTGGAGGGTGAAAGTCCTTCCTCGGGGATCTGAATCCTGGTTAAATTAGACCATTCAGGGCGGGGAGAAGCGCTCAAATTAATTCCCCCCCCTCCCTCCCTCCCCAGTTCATCCATCCCCAGGGAAGAGCCTCGCCAGCTGCCAGCTCTGCGCAATCGGATTAGAGGCTCCTGCGCTGGCGCGGCGCCACGCTTTCACCTGATGGCACCAAAATCTTCCCCGGAAGAGGTGAGCGTGGTGTCCCTGCCACAGCAGTGTGCCCGGAGCCACGTCCCCAGCCACACCGGGGTGCCACCATCATGCCCACGAGGGACAAACCAGGGGGGACATCACTGCTTCGGATGGAGGCATCGAAGCAGATTAAACGCTGTCAGAAAGGGAAGGGGGAAAACCACGCCGAGAAAGTGATGGAGATGGGGATCCCAGCACACAGGAGCTGTAAATCCAACCCCTCTTGTGCCCCACACCCCAAGCCTTCCAGGATCTCCCCAAAAAATTAAACCAGCCCCATGGGGAAGAGGGTGGAGGGAGGCACCGAGGAGGGGAAGGAGGATGGGAACCCGGCTGCTGCCCCAGGAGGAGGAGGAGGAAGAAGGAAGTGGCTGAACTTACTCTTGATGGGCAACTTAGCTCCAAAATAATTGATGCAAAAAAAAAATAATGATAAAAAAAGAAACGAAAAGAAAATAAAGCAGGCATTAACAGACAGGGTGAGCTTAAACAAACAGCGGGGAAATGTAAACATGCACGGGCGGCAGCGGAAAGTGTCCTTTGAAAGTCGGAATAAATAAGAAATAAAAGCAGAGAAGAGCAGCTGAAGGGAAGACTATTTCGGTCTCCTCCGAGCACGTGGCTGGTGACCTCTCTCTCCCCACAGCCCCCACGGGCCGGCCAGGAACTGGGTTAGTGAGACAGGCAGGGGGGACGCGCTCGCTGCTGGGACATGTCCTCTGCAAGGGCAGGAGGAGGGAGCCGAGCTCGCCCGTCCCTGTCCCCACCCGGGTGAGTGGCTTTCCAGTGAAGCAGGGGGGCTCCTGGCCACCCGGCTAATCCCCCCCTAGTCCCGTGGGGCATCACAAGAAGGACTTGGCCTCGGGTGTCCACCGTACCGTGGGAGGAGGAGAACCTCTGCCGATGAGGGGGACGTTCTCGTAGCGAGGGTTCCCACCGAAGAGCACGGCTTGGTTCCTGGAGGGGGAGACCCCGTCAGAGTTGGGGGGCACGGCAAGACCCCCACCTTCATCCCCATGCCCCCAGTGTGGGGTGAGGCTTCATCCCCGAGGTGGGGGGATGAACCTGGAGGAAGGATGGGGTGGTGTCTCACATGTACTCGGAGACGGGGGCGTTGGAGATGGTCTGGGCCGGGGGGTGCAGGCTGCTCTGGCTGCCCAGGCTGCTGCTGTAGCTGCAGAAGCTGCGGAGCTGCCCCCGGGCCGGGTTGTGGGTGGCGATGCGCCGGGCCTGCGGGTTGAAGGGGTCTTCCTCGTCCATGTCATCGTAGTCCCGGTCCCTGCGGGGACAAGGCACCAAGTGCTCACCCCCCTGGCCCCAAAGGCAGTTCCCCGTGCCCAGCTGGTGCCACACACTCGCCCCGTGCCCCCCCTGGTGAAGGCAGGGGCTGGGGGGGCAGACCCACCTGCCAGTGAAGTGCTTCCAGGCCCGTGGTGTGGCGCAGATGATGGTGGAGAAGGAGGCGGCCACCAGCAAGGAGAAGAGGACCAGGTAGAGCAAACCCTCCACCCCATCGTAGCAGATGCCAATAAGGGCGTCCAGGTAGTCCTGTCGCAGGAGAAGGGATGGGGCAGGGCTGGCAGCAGTGGGGGGGTGACCCCCAGAGCTGCAGACCCTTATCCTGGACCTCCCCATTCCCTCACCTTGTGCAGCCCCCGGCAGTCCAGCATGGCCGTGAGCTGGTGCAGGCTGGTCTCAGAGGAGTTGAGGAGCTGCTGGACCCCCAGTAGGTCTTTCTGCAGGAGAAATGGGGGGTTAGGGCAGCACTGGTTGAGATGGGGAGCAGAGTGGGGGGTCCCAGGGTCCCAGTTCCCCTCACCCCGTACCTCAGCGGTGGGGAAGAGAGGCAGTGCAAACTGTATCAGGCCCTGGATCTGGATCTGCATGGTGGTGAGGGAGCGCTGGAAGACGGTGAGAGCCTGCAAGGGGGGAGCAGGGAGCGGTGACGGAGCTGCCGGGGTCACCCCCCCACCCCAGGCAGCACAAAGTGGGGTGCTGGCTCCCCCATACCTGCTGGAAGGGGTTGCTCAGGCTCTGGTCACAGTACAGGTAATAGTGAACCACCTCTGCAAAGCAAAGGGGAGACACCGGTGTCAGCGTCCCATGGGGATGGAGGGGAGCACAGGGTGGGCAGTGGGGAGCTCTGGACCCCCCACCAAAGGTTTTGGGGGAGCACTGGGGTCCCTCATCTCCACGCCGTGCCCCTCACCTGCGCTGATGTCGCTCTCCGTCTGGTTCATGATGAACTTATCTGGAGCCACGCAGAAGTCGCTGGTGCCCTGTGGGGACAAAAGGGACATGGTGGGGCCTGGGGAGGAGGGGATGGGCACCCGCAGTCCCCAGCTCTGCCCCAGCATGACCAGTAACAACCCACCCCTCCCAGCCCCACTCACCACCGCCGCCGCTGTGTCCACAGCCATGGATGCCCAGCTGAGGATGAGTGTGAGCAGCCCACAGCACAGCATCCTGCGGGGAGAGGGGTGAACACACCATGGGGGTCCAACTGTGTGTCCCCCCCCCTCCCCAGCAGCTCCAGTGCCACTGAGCCCGGCCATGGGTTACTCACGTGGTGAGGAGGCAGCGGGAGCGCTTGGCCAGCCCCAGGCAGGCCAGGAGGCAGACGGTGAGGACGAGGATGAAGAAGAGGAGATAAGCCAACCACCTGGGCGCAGAGGAAGGCTCTGTCAACGCTTTGCCCACCACTTCGCCCCCCAACAACCCCCCCACCGGCCGCCCAGTGCCACCCCACGGCCCCACTCACCGGTAATACTCCACGTAGGAGACGTGGCCGGCCAGCTCGGTCAGCTCGGCGCTGGCCCCTCGCCACACGGGCAACCCCGAGAGCTGGAGGACGATGCCACCGGCCAACTGCTGCATGAACTTGAGGGTCTGCAGGTAGTCCCCCCGGGTGGCCAGCACCTCGTTCAGCCTGGCCAAGTGCTGCTCCAAGCCCACCTGCATCTGCAGGGTGGTGCCCGCCACCTGGGGAATGATGGGGACAGTCAGTCTCGCCGGGGTGGCACCGGGGGCTTCCCTGCTGGTAGCCATTCACCCCCCACCCACGGGATGCTGACCCCCGCGGAGAGCGGCCCCACACCAACCCCACGTGCTCCAGCCACATCCATCCTCTGGGACAGCTCTTTTCTGGCCACAAAGGCCCCATTCTGTGGGGTGACGTCACCCTCCCGTGCTCAGCCATGGCATGGCCGCCCCGGGGGCTCGGCCGGCAGCGCAGGACGCCCGGGTCCCTCCAGCCCCCCTCCCCAGTGCTTTAACCAAACCTGGGATGGGGAAATCGAGGTGATCCCGGGGGAGAAGGAGGGGGTCAAGTGTGGGGGGGACGGTGACCCTACCAGGGAGTCGATGCCGGTGAGGGTGTGGTTGGCGTGGTCCAGGGCGTAGAGCAGCTGGTAGACCCCATCGTTGGTCTCACTGTTCCCATAGAAGCCGATGCCGACGGCCGTGCTGCGGGCAGAGAGGGGACCCCCAGTCAGAGAGAGGTGTGTGCGGGGGGAGACATTCACCCCAACATGGTGCCCTGCCTTGGGGGGACACCAGCTGGACAGGGGACACTCCCAGGAGAATCCCAGTTTCAGGGGACCTCCACCCACGGCAGGACAGAGCCAAGCAGATGGAAGAGGGACAGCACCGTGATGGGGACATGATGGTGACACAGGACCTGGGGACTCCCGAGCCTGGAGCTGCTCCACGGGCCGGACATGGTGGGTTTGAAGCTCCTCCTGCCAAACCCCAGGAGATTTGAGGGCGGAGGGGCCGGGCAGAGCAGATTAGGGGAATCCGCTGGAAGCACCGCCGCTCCCGATTAAAGCTGCTCCTGGGGCTCAGCCCCGGGAGGGAGGCGGGCGATGGGCTGGGGCCGTGCTGTGGCCACTCCAGGCCCCGTGGCAAGCTCATCGCAGCCACTTTGGTGCTCCCTGGCACCCAGTGTGCCAGCGGGCACAGCCAGGATGGACATGGGAGCCAGGTCCAACGAGGGATGTGCCCCTGTCCTGGCCAGGCATGTGCCCAGCATGCCCAGTACTGCCCCCTCCCCACGGCAGACCCCGATAAAACCAACAGACACTGGCCCATTTGCCACATTTGGCCTTTAACAGCTGCAAACAGGCTCGGTGTAGCTGTCAGGCGGGTTTCAAAGCCCTGGGCGAGCTGCAGAACGGTCCCCCTGCCGCCTGCCAGCAGACACCCTGAGGCTGGAAGAGCGGTGGGGAGGGGGGGGGTCCCGGGGGGAGCACACCAAGCTCATTAGTGCCATTTCCCTGCTCTGAACAAGGCTCGCAGGCAGCCATCTCGCTCCGCCCAGGCAAAACCAGCCCCTTTGTCTGGCGAGCGGGTCATGCTAAAGGGCCCCGTGTCCCATCCCGTCCCCCCTCCCGCAGGGCCAGGACTGCTGGGGGGCATGTGGGCTGGCTAGCTGGGGATCCTCCTAGCCACGGGCTACCAAAACTCGAGACGGGCTTGGAAAGCTGCTGGGTAAAGAAGGGTTCCCCCTTGTCTAATTGCTCCTGTCGTAATTAAGGCCGGGAGCACACGGGACCTGCCAGCTGGGTCACGCTGCTGCCTGCCATCTGCTCCGGGCTGGGATTAGCGACCCGGCCCCGCTCCCCACCGGGATTAGCCGGGAAGGCGGCACGGCTGTGGGGGGGACAGGGACAGGGCTGGCCCGTGGCCGGTCCCCGGGGCTCCCCCAGCACCGGCAGGGATGGCCCGTATTTAATGGCACGGATCTAATTAAAGCAACTCATAGCAGGACCCTCGAGCCCCCCTTGATGAGGAGGGGACAGCACGGGGTCCCCGTCCTCACCAGCAGATGAGCCCGGCGGTGACGGCCATCCAGGTGACACAGCAGGAGTGGGGGCGCTTGGTGTCGGGCTCCTGGTCCCTCTTGCAGCAGCAGAGGCAGATCAGGTAGACGGTGAGGAAGAGGAGGTTGAGGCCGAGGCAGACGGCAGCCACCAAGCCCAGGAAAAGCAGCGACTGGGGAAGGAGAGAAGAGGAGAGGGACACACACACACACACACACACACAGTCAGTGCCCGGGCCATCACATGCTGCAGGGCACCCGGCAGGATGCGGCCACCTCCAGCCCCACGGGACGGTCACACGGGGAGGAAAGAGGAAGAGTCCCCTGTCCCCACACGGGGTCACACCGAGCTGGGGGTGCAGCAGCCCTTCCACGGGGGTGGGGAGGGGGTAGGACACCGTGGCTGCCCCCCCTCCTCATTTCGGGGTGCCCCGCGATGCTGGGGGGGCTACGGCACCGCTAAAACGAGGGGTGACCCCCCCCCGAGCGGAGAAGGGGGGTGGGGGGGAGGCGGTGGGACACCGTGGCTGCCCCCCCTCCTCATTTCGGGGTGCCCCGCGATGCTGGGGGGGCTACGGCACCGCTAAAACGAGGGGTGACCCCCCCCCGAGCGGAGAAGGGGGGTGGGGGGGAGGCGGTGGGACACCGTGGCTGCCCCCCCTCCTCATTTCGGGGTGCCCCGCGATGCTGGGGGGGCTACGGCACCGCTAAAACGAGGGGTGACCCCCCCCCGAGCGGAGAAGGGGGGTGGGGGGGAGGCGGTGGGACACCGTGGCTGCCCCCCCTCCTCATTTCGGGGTGCCCCGCGATGCTGGGGGGGCTACGGCACCGCTAAAACGAGGGGTGACCCCCCCCCGAGCGGAGAAGGGGGGTGGGGGGGAGGCGGTGGGACACCGTGGCTGCCCCCCCTCCTCATTTCGGGGTGCCCCGCGATGCTGGGGGGGCTACGGCACCGCTAAAACGAGGGGTGACCCCCCCCCGAGCGGAGAAGGGGGGTGGGGGGGAGGCGGTGGGACACCGTGGCTGCCCCCCCTCCTCATTTCGGGGTGCCCCGCGATGCTGGGGGGGCTACGGCACCGCTAAAACGAGGGGTGACCCCCCCCCGAGCGGAGAAGGGGGGTGGGGGGGAGGCGGTGGGACACCGTGGCTGCCCCCCCTCCTCATTTCGGGGTGCCCCGCGATGCTGGGGGGGCTACGGCACCGCTAAAACGAGGGGTGACCCCCCCCCGAGCGGAGAAGGGGGGTGGGGGGGAGGCGGTGGGACACCGTGGGGACCCCGTCACCCCCCTGCTATAGGGGTACCAGACCCCATTCCCTCTCCTATAGGGCCACTGGACCCCCTAGCCAAATGCTATAGGGGTACCAGACCCCGTCACCACCCTGCTATAGGGGTACCAGACCCCATTCCCTCTCCTATAGGGCCACTAGACCCCATTATCCCCCTGCTATAGGGGGGCTGCACCCCATGCCCCCTGCTATAGGGTCATCATGCCCCATCACCCCCTTACTATAAGGGCACCGCACCCCACTCCCCCCGCTACAGGGGCACTGAACTGCATCTACCCCTGCTATAGGGGCACAGAATCACATCTCCCCCTGCTATAGGGTCGTCATATACCGTTACCCCCCTGCTATAGGGGTACCACACCCCATTCCCTCTCCTATAGGGCCACTGGACCCCATTATCCCCCTGCTATAGGGGGGCTGCACCCCATGCCCCCTGCTATAGGGTCATCATGCCTTATCACCCCGCTACTATAAGGGCACCCCACCCTCCTCCCCCCGCTATAGGGGCACTGAACCACATCTACCCCTGCTATAGGGACATCATATCCCATCACCCCCCTACTATAAGGGCACCCCATCCCCTCCACGCTATAGGGGCACGGAATCGCATCTCCCCCTGCTATAGGGGTACCCCATACCATCATCCTCCTGCTATAGGGGCATGGGACCCCATCACCCCTGCTATAGGGTTATCATATACAGTTACCTCCCTGCTATAGGGACGCTGTACCCCATTCTCCATCCTATAGGGACATCACACCTAATCACCCCCCTGCTATAGGGACACTGTACCCCATCCTCCATCCTATAGGGACATCACACCCCATCACCCCCCCGATATAGGGGCACAGGACCCCCTTACAAGGACTGCACCACCGTCACCTCCACAATGGCACCACACAGTGCCACGTGTGACCATTCCAGACCCCTCTCTCACCCCCCTGCTATAGGGACACTGTACCCCATCCTCCATCCTATAGGGACATCACACCCCATCACCCCCCCGATATAGGGGCACAGGACCCCCTTACAAGGACTGCACCACCGTCACCTCCACAATGGCACCACACAGTGCCACGTGTGACCATTCCAGACCCCTCTCTGTCCCCCAACACCCAGCTGTCCCCCCATCAGTGCTCCCCGCAGGAGAGGGGACAACTCCCCGCTGTGACACCAGTGTCACGGAAACCTCATCCCAGTGCACACCAGTCCCACCAGGGCAATGGGAGATGTTCCGCTCAGCCCCACCAGAAACAGACCTCGTCCCCCCTCCCATCCCACCACTGGGACATCCCACCCCCTAAGGATGGGGACCACCAGCTGCTCTCGCCGGGGCAGGGACCCAAAGAGGCTCCTGAACCCCAGGAACCCCAAAAGTCTCAGCAGGAGCTGCTGGAAGGACGGAGGTGACAGAGGGAACACTTCAGGTTTGTGTTTATTGTAACAAACGTGGAGAAACCTACAGAGGAACGGCTCATTTCAGCTCCTTCACCGCCAGACCTGGGGGGGGAAGAAAGAGAGGGTTTAAGGGTTGGGAGTTGGAAAGGTCCTCGCTGTCCCACCCCCTGCCTGAGCACCACCACCACCTCATCATCATCATCACCATCATCTCATTAAGGTCCCTTCCAACCCACCCCATTCTATGATTTTATGATTTCCTCCAGCATCAGTTCCAGGCACAGCAAAACCCGAGTGGCCCAGAACAGGGTGACACGTGGTGGGACAGGGCTCGTGTCCCACTGGGGCCACTTCCATCCAGCCTGTTGCCCCCCCAAAAACCTGGGACACTTCCCTCCAGAGGCCAAGGGATACCTGGGGGCAGGGACTGCTTCAGCTTCTCGGCCTTCTCCTTGTCCGTGATGACCAGGGTGTAGAGGTACCGGCTGCAGCGCACCTTGAACTTCACATTGTCCTTGTTCTTCTTGATCTTGACGGCTGTGGGACGAAGGAACAGGTCAGGGGGACAGCGGTGACCCCAAACCTGAGCTGGGAGGATGATGGCAGCCCTGGCCTCACCCATCGGCGTGACACGTGGTGGGACAGGGCTCGTGTCCCACTGGGGCCACTTCCATCCAGCCTGTTGCCCCCCCAAAAACCTGGGACACTTCCCTCCAGAGGCCAAGGGATACCTGGGGGCAGGGACTGCTTCAGCTTCTCGGCCTTCTCCTTGTCCGTGATGACCAGGGTGTAGAGGTACCGGCTGCAGCGCACCTTGAACTTCACATTGTCCTTGTTCTTCTTGATCTTGACGGCTGTGGGACGAAGGAACAGGTCAGGGGGACAGCGGTGACCCCAAACCTGAGCTGGGAGGATGATGGCAGCCCTGGCCTCACCCATCGGCACTAAACTCCAAACTATTATTTTTTTTTTTCCCCCTACACTGTTGTCACCAAAAATTGACTGTCCCAGCGAGGGGACTGGGCCCTGCTCCCTTGTGGAGATGCAGCGCTGGTTTTCCAAAGCCAACAGCTTTATTTTGAGGTATTTTGGCTCCGCAGAAGCAGCAGTTTAGGACAAGCAAGGTGGAAAATTTATCACATTGTAAATTTTCAAGGGAGCGTGACAGTTCGCACCGGGCTCATCATTTACCTGTGTCACCTTCTGCAACTGACTGGCTGCTCTGGAGCTCGTAAGGCAGCTCCCGTGCCCTGCAGCCAGAGCTTCCCAGCTCCTTTACATCCCCCCAAGGCTGTTTTGTCTCAGCTCACCCACAACCCAAATCCTGAACAGAGTGAGCCCAAAGGCATGGAGATCATAGAATGGTTAGAGTTGGAAGGGATCTTAAAGATCCTCCAGTTCCACCCCCCCTGCCCTGGGCAGGGACACCTCCCACCAGCCCAGGTTGCTCCAAGCCCCCTCCAACCTGGCCTTGAACCCCTCCAGGGATGGGGCAGCCACAGCTTCTCTGGGCAACCTGGGCCAGGCTCTCACCACTCTCACACCAATATCTAATCTAAATCTCCCCTCTTCCAATTTAAAACCATTACCCCTTGTCCTGTCACTGCACTCCCTGACAAAGAGTCCCTCCCCAGCTCTCCTGTAGCCCCTTCAGATATTGGGAGGCTGCTCTAAGGTCTCCCCGGAGCCTTCTCTTCTCCAGGCTGAACAACCCCAGCTCTCTCAGTCTGTCTCCAACCTTCTGAGCATCAACACTTCATGAGGGGCTGTCACCAGCTCCAACAGCGTTTCGGTGTTTAACTACCCCCTCTCGCCCACACCCCCGAGCGATAAAAACATCTCCAGAAGGAAAGCGCCTCTTCCCCGTGACAGCTGGATCCAAATAAGCAAGAGAAGAGGGAAAACTCTTCAGGCGTTGTTAAATACTGAGACAAGGCATTTCTGGTGTTTCAATTACAACGGGCTTTGTATTTGCAACAAAGGAAAAGGCGAGTCTGATTCACTTGTCACTCTGACAGCAATCCCCAGCGCCTGACACCACCGAGCTTTTCAAAGATTACAGCAAGGCAGAGACAAGGTGATATCTGCAAACAGTTTCCAGCTGGGGCTTGGCCACAACACCCCAGAGGAAGCGTGGCTGAGGGGGAGCCCAGCCCTGGTCCCCCTACAGCAGACCTCGCCTCTGGGGTCCATCACCACGTCCCTTTGCCCAGTGTGGCTTCTGCTCACAGGCAGCGACCCCAGTCAACACCGAGCAAAAGCCACCTGAAATGTCACAAACCCTGTGTCCCCCCTCAGGGCTCCCAAGCCAAGTTGCTCCTCAGCCTCCCTGGGGACAGGTGGCCCCACAGCCCTGCTCTGGTGGGGAAAAGCAGCTCCCACACCAGAGCATCCCACCCCACTCCTCCTGGAGACACACACGGCACTCACACTTTGCGTCCTTCCTCCTGGCTGTCAGCAGAAAGTCTTTAATCTCCTCAATTTTGCGAGGCTGAAAGGCAAAACTGAGACTCAGCGTATGGAGAATCACAGAATGGTTTGGGTATCTTCTGCCAAGGGTTAATGGTGGAAGGAACAGAAGGAGGTGGTTATGGCCAGGGGAGCGTCTGGTATTAGATGAACAGGGCAGGATCTGACCAACCCTTCGGCTGGATCATAGAATCACAGAGTGGTTTGGGTTGGAAGGGACCTTAAAGCCCACCCAGTGCCACCCCCTGCCCTGGGCAGGGACACCTCTCACCACATCAGGTTGCCCCAAGTCCTTGAACCCCTCCAGGGATGGGGCAGCCACAGCTTCTCTGGGCAACCTGGGCCAGGCTCTCACCACCCTCACACCAAACAAGTTCTTCCCCACATCTCAGCTCCATCTCCCCTCTTTCAGTGTCAAACCCTTCCGCCTCGTCCTATGGCTCCCCTCCCTGATCCAGAGTCCCTCCCCATCTCCCCTGGAGCCCCTTTAGGGACTGGAAAGGGCTCTAAGGTGTCCCCGAACCTTTTCTTCTCCAGGCTGAACCTGGGCCAGGGTCTCACCGTCCTCACCCTTCTTAATATTTCGTCTAAATCTCCCTCTCAGTGTCAGAGCCGAGAACCCACTCCCCACCCCACACCTTGGTCCCTGTGAGGGTCCCCAGCTGCCACAGCCAAGACTCCCCCCTCCCAGCATCCCCCTTCCCCGCAGCCAGGCCAGGGAGAGCCCTTCCTCCCCTGGGGGGGGTCTGGGCTGTGTTGGGGTGCTGGGAAGCCCTCCCGCCTTCCTCCTTTGCCCACCCCGCCATCCTCCTCCTCCTCCTCCTCCTCACCATGGTTCCGGGCCGGCCTCAGAGCGCTCCAACCTGCGGCAGAAACAACCCAAGATGGCGTCAGCCCCGTCTCACCGCCCGAAAACGGCCGCCCAACATCACCTTCCCCCGCTCCCGCCCCGCGCCCGCCCATCCGCCCGCCATCGGGTCCCCCCGGGTCCCCTCCGCTCCCCCGGCCCATCCCCGGGGCCGCCCAACCCCGTACGGCCACGGATGGCCCCCCCCACCCCCGGTCCCGGCTCCGCCATGGCGTACCCACAACAGCGATACCTCTGTGAAGAAAGCGGAAGCTGAGCGGGCACTTCCGCATCCGGGACTTAACCCCGCCCCCTCCGCTACGGCTCGGCCCGAGGGACAAAAAAGGGCGGCGGGGGCCGCCAGCGCCATGGCGGGCGCGGCTCTTGTGATGAGTTGGCAGGGTCTCAGCACCCCCTACCCCGGGGTGCACCGGGCACTCCCGGCCTCCCCCATCCCTCCGAGGACGGGCGGGCTGTTTGTAGCCTCCCGAGCATTGTAGCCTCCCAGCATTTCTCGGGGGGGGGCTCGGGTAGGGCTGTAATGGAGCAGCTTTGCCACAAGAGAGAGCTTCAGCCACGCTCAAAGCCCCCAAAATCGCCCTAAACACCTGCAAAAATCCTTGGGGGTGGATAGCGGGGGGAGGAGGGACCCCCGTCCCCGTCCCCCATCGTGTCCTTGTCCCTGCACCTCCTCGGTCCCTCTCGGCCCCGTCCCCATCCTGCTGGAGGAGCGGTGTTTTGGGGTGCTCCTCGGGGGGCTCTGGGTGCTTTGGTGCTTGGATGGGGCCGGGGGGAACATCGAGTGCGATGGGGACACTTGTGGGGGGGGACAGTGGGGCAGGGGGGCTGCGTGGGCACCCTCTTTGGGGTGGCCCCAGCCGGCGCTGGGTGCCAAAAGCTTAATTACCTGCTGATTCCTGATCTTGCAGCCGTGGTGGTTTTGGAGATGGGTAATTAATTACCTTCTGCTTTTAATGACTGCTGGGGATGGCTGTTGGCAGCGCTCGTGTGCGTGCCTGCGAGGGGACACGAGCACGGGGCCGTGTCTCACGTCGGTGGTGCCCCCCGGCTCCTTCTGGAGACCCCAAATCCTGGGGATGCTCCCCAGAGCGATGGAATTAAGTTACGAGGAAGAGGAAGGAGGAGGAGGAAGGGCAGGAGTAGGTGACACCAGGGAAGGGACAACCCTCCCCACCTGCAGCCCACCAGTTGTTCCCAGTATCCCACTAAGCCCAGTTACTGGGACGAAGCCCGCAGCCTACCAGTTGCTCCCAGTATCCCACTAAGATCAGTTACTGGGATGAAGCCAGCAGCCTACCAGTTGCTCCGCCCACCAGTTGTTCCCAGTATCCCACTAAGCCCAGTCACTGGGACGAAGCCCACAGCCCACCAGTTGTTCCCAGTATCCCACTAAGACCAGTTACTGGGACAAAGCCAGCAGCCCACCAGTTGTTCCCAGTATCCCTCTAAGCCCAGTTACTGGGACAGAAAATTAGTTACTGGGATGAAGCCCGCAGCCCACCAGTTGCTCCCAGTATCCCACTAAAATTAGTTACTGGGATGAAGCCCGCAGCCCACCAGTTGCTCCCAGTATCCCACTAAAATTAGTTACTGGGATGAAGCCCGCAGCCGACCAGTTGCTCCCAGTATCCCACTAAGCCCAGTTATTGGGACAAAGCCAGCAGCCCACCAGTTGTTCCCAGTATCCCTCTAAGCCCAGTTACTGGGACAGAGCCCGCAGCTGGGGAGGGGGAGGCTTATTGGGTGGGACGATTTCCCCACACCCCCCCTCCCTCCTGCCACCAAATGAGTTTTTTAATTGTTTGATTTACTTATCTCATCTCTGATGGGCTGATCTACTCCGCTGCCTTTTAATTGCTTCAAAAGTTGAGCAGTTTTTCATGTTTTAAGGAGTGCTGAATTGTATAATTAAAACACTAACAGTGTAAATCACCGGCGCAGAAGAACGACAGCAGAGAATTAAGGGAGCTTTTTTTGCGTCATAATAAAACCAAACCGGCATGAAAAGTGCCCATTCCGGCACCCCCCCCGAATGCTAATGCTTGGCCCAGGGGAGCGAGGCCCCGGCACACCCTGCCCACCTCCAAAATCACCTGGTTTTAGCCCAAAACGCAGCGTGGCCTCCCCCTCAGAGCCTGATATGGGGGGCATGTGGGTCAGACGATGGCTGTCCCCCCCCCGGCCAGGTCCCACGGCCCCTGTGCCCCCCCAGCAGCATCACTCCTGCTCCTGCCTGGGAACGGATTCACTTTTACTTTATTAATATTATTTAAAAGCCGAGCGGGCGTATAAATCAACAAAAATAATTCATGAGAGTCATTAGCTCCTCAAAGACGGGATCTTTTTACGACTGGCTTTAAATTAAAAAAAGAGAAAAAAAAAAAAAAAAAGAGCAAGAAACGCACCACATTCTGAAACTGCGGCTTTTAAAACACATCAAATACATTTCCTCCCAGCCTCCCACCGGCCCGGCTCCTCCGCCTAATGAAATTCAATTAGCATCCTTAATTTACCCGCTGGCTACCAGTTTTATATTAAAAAATCTTTCTGGTTCTGCTCGGGAAGCGCCGTGCCGGGATCACGGTTGTGTTTAACCCCCCGGCTCTGGGGGGGGGAACCATCACCCCCCTCCCCGGCATGGGATTTGGTGAATGGCTTGATGAGGAGCCTTCCTCCTCCTGTTCCTCCTCCTCATCCTCCTCCAACAGCTTGGGGAGGCTCCAGTGATGTGGATGTTGATGGAGCCATGTGGAGGATGCCGGATCTGGCCCCAGGCACCTTGGGGTGCCCATGGGTGCCACCCGCTGAGCCAGGCAGGGTGACATCCCCCTGGGGACAACGGGGACCTGGCCACCATGGGTGGCAGCCCCCCCCTCCCCGTCAGCTCACCCGGGAGTTTTTTTGGCAGGCGGTGAGACGTGTGTGTCACCCGGCGATTAGATGCTATCGCCTTATCGGCGGCGGCAGCTCCGGGGGCTGCGGGGAGGGGGGGGCCACAACGAGGCAGGGGAGGAAAAAAAAAAAAAAAAAAGAAAGAAGAAAAAGAAGAAAAAAGCGATGTGATTTTTCCTCTCTCCTCCTCTCACAGCTCTGAGCCAAAGTTAAACAGCCACCGAAGATGACCTGCCCTGGGTCGTCGCCGTGACCTCGGGGACCTCTGGCTGGTGGTGGCACCGAGTCCCGCTCCCTCCCTGTGAGCCACAGCTGGCTCCCAGTGCTCTCCCGAGATCCCAGTGGGCTGGAGGGGCTGGGTGCGGATGGGTGCTCCGTCCCAGCCATGTTTACACACACCAGGACAGCTGTACTTTTATTATTATGCATAATGACACTGTCCTTAACGGAGTCACAAGCCATTTTTCCCAGCGGAGGGACAGAGCTGTGGTGTGGGAAGGGGGAACCGCAGCTCATCTCCACGTCAGGGTGAGCTCTGAGCTACTGGACCGGTCCCAACAGCAGCCTTGGGGTGTCCTACAGGAGTGTTTGGTGCCCAGTTTGGGTACTCTGCACCCCAGGCTCCAGCACGTCCTGCTGGGAGCTGAGCATCTCCTCTCTGGTGTGACTGGGCAGCACCTGCACACCCAAAATGATGGTGGTTTCCTTCCCCAGCCTGGGGCAGCCAGCAGGGAAAAGCCACCCATTTGGGGTCCCACGTTGGGTTAGAGCCTGGGAGGCACGGCTTGTCCCAGGTCGGTGATGCACTGGCTGCATGTGGGTGATGTGCCCGTGGAGGTGTGTGGTCCCACCTTGGGCTCCCTGGGGAGCTGTCTGTGGGACCCCCCCCTGCGTGGCTGCACCTCAGGGCTGCCGAGCTCCAGGGCAGACCAAGATGGGCAAGGACATGAGTGTGACCTTGAGACATGCATGGATGTGACATGCATGGATGTGATGTGTGGATGGAACGTGCAGGGATGGGACATGCAAGCTCGAGACATGCAAGATGGAGACACACATGGTTGAGATGTGCATGGGTGGGATGTGCATGGATGGGACGTGCATGGATGGGACATACATGGATGGGACATACATGGCTGGGATGTGCATGGATGGGACATACATGGCTGGAATGTGCATGGATGGGATGTGCATGGATGGGACATACGTGGATGGGATATGCGTGGATGGGATGTGCATGGCTGGGACATGCAAGCTCGAGACATGCAAGATGGAGACACATATGGTTGAGATGTGCATGGATGGGACATACATGGCTGGAATGTGCATGGATGGGATGTGCATGGATGGGACATGCAAGCTCGAGACATGCAAGATGGAGACACATATGGTTGAGATGTGCATGGATGGGACATACATGGCTGGAATGTGCATGGATGGGATGTGCATGGATGGGACATGCAAGCTCGAGACATGCAAGATGGAGACATGCACAGCTGAGATGTGGAAGCTCAAGACCTGCGTGGCTGGGACGTACAAGCTTGAGACACGGATGTCTGAGATGATCATGGCTGGGACATGCAGGATGGAGCCCTGCCCGCAGCTGGAGCGCTGCACGCCCCGGGGGTGCACACCTGAGACACGCCTGCCCGAGCCGTGCACGCCGGTGCCCGACACGTGTGCTCCAGGTGTGTGCACCGAGCGGCGTGTCCCCGAGCTGTGTGGCCCCCGGTGCCATCCCAGGTGCCATCATCCGCCACCCAGCCCTTGTTTCATTCTCCCAAATTTCGGGTCCTTCTTCCCGTGTTTGTGGGGGAAGGCGATGGGCGGCGGCGGTGGGGAGCTGGCAGGGTTAATGGGAGACGTGAAAGGACACGTTCGCCGGGAGATTCCCCTATTCAGGGAACAAACCGCAGCAGAAATTGATTTTTTCCCCCTGTTTACTCCAGTTTCTTCCCCCTGGTGCAGAGAAGAAAGGCCTTGCATGGCGATTACCTGCTCCGGAGTGCGGGTGCAATTTGCTGGCCGCGTTTATTATTAACAGGGACAGAAAACTCTTTCCAATCACTTGGCATTTTCTTCCTTTTTTTTCCCCCCTTTGCTCTCGTTCTTTCTTCCTTTCTGGGTTTTTAAAGCGAAGGGCCCTGGCAGCGCGCTGCCGAGAGCCGATCAATTCACTCCTAATGGCAGCTCCCATGCCCTCGCATTCATCAGCCGGGCTCTTAAAGAACATCCCAGGCTTCATGGACGACTTGGGGGGAAAAAAAAAAAAGCAAAAAAAAAAAAAAAAGAAGCCCATTTGGAGGCGAGATCATATTTTCTCCCTCTCTTCCCCTTTTGTTCTTTATTTGCGGAGGACAAAGGCAGGCACAGGCTCGAGGTGGGGAACAGGCAGCGGAGGCAGATGAATTCCAAAGAAACAAAAGGGCCTGTTTTCATGGAAATGCCCTGAAAAGGGGGGAGTAAATTTGGGGAGGGGGTCTCACACACACACAGAGGGAGCTGGGGAAAAAGCCAGGGAGGGGTCGTGTTCAGCAGCAGCATCATGGCGTGGCTGGAGCAGGAAAAAGGAGAATAAACGGGGCTGGAAGTTTTCCCCGCAGGCATCGGGAGCCGTTTGAAGCTCTTGAATATATATTTTTTTTAATTAGGGCTGGGCTGGGCCGGATCCTGCCCAGGCGGAGGGGCCACACGGGAGCTGGGATCAGCATCTGGCCCTGGAGCTCTTCCCGTCTTGCTGCCGTCGGCTGTTTTTGGGGTTTGGGAGGGGCTGGAGCCGGGAGGGGGGGGTTAGTGGGTTGTATTAAAGCCATTTAATACCTGGGTCCCCCATTGCTGGGCACACTTTGTGTCCCCCCACAGGGCAGGAGGGCACCAAACCCGAGGGGATATAAAAACCCAAGCGATGCAGAGCAGAAAGTGCTGGGGGTCCCCCCGTCTCTCACCAGCACCACGTCTGGCCACCTGTGTCACGAGTCGTTCCGGTCTCAGTGGGGCTGTGGGAGCACGTGGCCATGTGGGGCAAAGCCCCAGGGTGGCTGTGGGGTGAGGTCCCTTGGAGGAGACGGGTGGTGACACGGGGAGCTCAGGGGAAGGTGACACGATGGGGGAAACCACCCGAGCGTCCCACCCGGCAGCGCGAGGCAGACACCAAAGGGCTGCTCCCCTCCTTCCTCCTCCCTCCCCAGCACCCATGGGAGCATTGGGAGAAGCTGGTGATGCTGGTGGTGCTCCTGCTGCCGGGGTGCCCGTGTGATGGCACCGTGTGCCATTTATCCGGCGGAGCGGGCACCCTCACGCTCCGTGGCACAGCATGGCGTGAGCGGGTGGCCCGGGATGCTGCGGCTCCAAAGGGGCTTTTCTGCAGCTCAGGGGAGACCAGCACAGAACGGGGAGAGAACTCCATCTTAATTGCATTTCATTACAGTGTCCTCCACCTGCCCTGCCCCCCAAATCCCCACCCTTGGTGCCAGCCTTGCCCCCCCTGGGGACCCTCTCGCAGCCTGGCTCCGGGGTCCCCCTCTGAAGTTGGAGAGATAAAAAGGAGCCAAGTCCCAGTGTTTCCGTGGGCACCAACTCCATCGTGCCAGGGGCTGGGCACTGCACAAGGGTTTGGGGTGGTGGGTGACCCCCCCTGCCTGGGGTAGGACATGCCCGACTCCACGGGGACCCACTGGGTGTTGGGGACCCCAGTTCCTTATCCTGCCCAGTCCCCAAAAGTCCTGGCCCCTCATTCTGCGTGGTCCCCAAGCAGGGGATGCAGAAGGTGATGCCCCGATGCTCCCCTCACTTGTCCCTTGCCACCTGCAAAGGGGATTTGCCCTGATTAGGGGTACAGAGCAGTGGGTGAGGTGCTGCGTCGTGTCCCCCGATGTCCCCTGCACCTCCCTTCACGGGGTGTCATGGCTGGTGACCCCGCGGTGCAAATATCAGCCCCACACATCCAGGGGCTGTCAGGATGCAGGCAGGACCACCCCCCATGGGTGCTGCAAGGGGTGGGTGGCCCCAAAGGTCCCGAGCTGGGACCCCAGTGGGCGCCGGTGGCTGTGGGACGCAGAAGGGACAAGCAGGTGGCACCCAGGGGTGGCATCGACGGTGGCACCGGGAGGAGGGCAGAGCAGCTGCGGTGCCCGCCTGGCTCCCCACCACCCAGAGCAGCTCCAGCCGAATTTGGTGTCATCCTGCAGAGGAAGATTATGGTAATTTTCCTCCCCCCCCCCCCTTATGCATAATTTTCCGACTGGGCTGCAGCAGAGGCTGTGCGGAGAGGCTGGGTGATGGGAATGTCATCTGCGATTCGATTATCTCCCCCTGCCTGCTGCCTCTTTTTTTTTTTTTTTTTCCTTGTGAAACCTTCATCAAAATATGTAGATCTAATTAGGACAATTACAGCGCGAGGACAGCTGAAACCCACCCAAAGCCCCACAGCAACCAGCTGCTTTGGCTGAGCCACCGGCGAGAGGGGGGGGACGGAGGCTTTTTGGGGGGAGTTTGGGGGATTTTGGGGGCTCTGCAGGGGGGGATGAAGGGGG